GAGAAAAAGAAACAGAAAAACCTGCTGTCATTGTATGTGCGAGAGACCAGAGACAAAGAATCGGGTCCAAGATTTTGTAGGCCGCCAAACGTTCCGAACGGAGTTGGTCATTACAGTATTCCTGACTTGGCTGTTCCGAACACGGTGCTCCAGTAGATTGGGAGGGTTATAAGGATGTAAGAGGTATCAAATGGTTTATCGAGAAATCTAAAAGCTTAATCCCGCACCTCTACATTGTATTCCTTTGAATCCAGCCAGGAAGCTCGACTGTTGAAAGCACCACGCGTAGCGCCTCTGGTGCCGAGGAGCGCAATTCGCGAATGAGTGCAATAAAGGCTGATAAGAGATACAAGAGAACAGCGAAGTATATGGGACACAGAACGGAGAAGTATATCTCGCAACCGAAGGCAACGAAACTATAGGTCAAGCCAAGAGGAGTTGGAGACGTAGCACAAAGCATGGAGATCCATGGGGTGAGCAAGGATTTGTGGCATTCACTGGGGAGGATAGCATCAGGAACGAACTGAGGCTAACATTGTTACACGAGGAGGTTGGCGCGAATATGGCGAACAGCACCAGTCGTGGCAAGAACAAAGCCGTGTCTCGATCAGCTGGTCTCGGTGATCTCAGGGATGCTTGAACGCAGCGCAATGCGAGGCGAGCAGAGGATCCAGAAAATTTGGTGTTGGCCTTTGCGATGTGATTCGCTGGTGTAGCTGAACTGACTCTGCAAGAACCGCACTGAGGGGGAAATTTTCCTGGAACCACAAGGATTATGCGGATTTTTTTGCGCAGTTTGAGCCAGTTCAACCATGTTGGACAACAATGTGGAGAGTGTTCTCGGTTAGAATCATTCATAACCTTCCAACACAGCCCTGTTTTTTGAATCCGCATGGAATGGAATCTGTAGTCACCGTAGGGTTCTGGTGCGTACCCAATTTCAGAAACAGGTTCAAAAGTAAAATGGATCCACCAACCATCCAAAATCCTGCGAGAAATTACCAAACTCACTCGAGATAGATAGCAATTGGAATTCAGAGCCGGGCTGAAAGTAAACATCAAGTTATTAAAGTCATTGACACGTGCACAGATACTTGACGAGATTTCAGAGCCTGCCAGTCTAAGGATATCACTGGAGTCATAGGAAATCATGAGAGAGCCTAGATCTGTCGAAGAAATCATTAAACCTCGTGTAATCTGAACCCCCTATCTCATGTGATCAAGTCAAACACCTCAACTTGAGAACAGATTTCGTAAGACGCAACGTTGGGATGAATTGGTGGAATATCCAGCAAACCAAGGGGGTATTATCTAAGGAGCCTAGAGTACCTTTACCAGATGGTGAACCGTGGATGATCAATTGGGAAGATGCATATATACGGTGTCAACCCCACAAGGTAGTCAGAAGGGACGAGCACATTTAAACCTTCTATGGTAAGGTGGTTAGCCAGAAGCACGACAATGACAAGAAGAAGCAGACCTGTTGAAGAACCAACAGCGTATAGAATTTAGAAAAATCCAGGAAGGGTGGAGAAAGCGCCGAGAGAACATCCAGAAGACCCCCTGTCGGGTCCAAGACACGATGATATGCCTCGAAAGAACACCGAGAGGAACAGAAATTGAGGTTCCCGGCGAAACCAAAATCTATTGAGCAGGAAAGTAATGATATTAGTATTACAGAGTACCTGATTTTACTTTTGGTTGCAATGCTGTTGAAGTCAGACGCATCCCGAAACAGTAGCACCCGCTCAAAGTTCTGACGATGAGAATTTTCATTCCTTTATGGCGATGAACTCGTGCACGTATTTTATCGCGGGGAAGCTGAGTGGAGTCAAACGATAAAATTCAACCACTTTCCCGAAATGGCCTACTGTATTCATACCACTCGTTTTAACCTTCCTACGCAGAATTGAAAGTGGACTAGAATTTATAATAAATACCCAGATTCAGAACCTGCATATGCCATTATTTCCGGCCTAAAACTTGAAGCTACCTTCACGATACCCTCACTGAGGTAAACGAGTTGTCTCTGGGGTCCTCGCACCCCAAAGGGTCAAATCCTACCGCCAATCACGTTTGCCGAACAGCCGTGCCGCATAACCGAAGCTGTCCTGTCCCTGTTGCCATATTCCACATCATTTTTCACGTGTGTATCACCCAGGGGCCAGGTTCACCGAACATATCTCTCTGTATGTACTCAATCTATCAGCATCCAACCCTCGCTCAACCCTCGCTACTCTCTTGAATGTCTTGGCCCTGAACTCACTGCTTTCCGAGTCCTTATGCTTCCAATTCTAGACGGCAGTTCCACATCTGTTTGGGTTTGCAACAACTCTCGTCTTCGACTCCTTTTGCGCTCCCCGACGACTTCTTGACACAATTCTGATCGGGCTTCTCGGATTTTAGATACCTACTGGGATACTAGAATGGTATGCCCGATTCGTGGACACTTGATACTTCAACTCCCTCCCCTCCCACTTGCTCGCATCTATTCCTTCCGGCGATTCAAGTGGACGTCTTGCACTGGGCATAAAGATTTGATGAAAAAGGTGTGTCTATCATACAAAAGAGCGAGCAAAAACCTCAAATCTCAAATTTCCGCTGCAGTGTCGAGATTATCATAATAATAAGTTCAGCAGAAAATCACAAATATTTAACAATAATTATTTGATAATTATGCTACAAAATCGTCTGTCCATTGTGACAACAGTCATCCATTCTACTAGATCTGTCTTGCCCTCACGCACTAGTGGCGGTCCAGAAGTCAAACGTCTGCGCGACCACCGGGCTGCAGTTCGTCAGCCCAAAGTATTCCGATCCCATCTCAGCCGTCACGCAGAGGCCGCTCGGTGCGGACTTGATCGCACAACCGGAGGCGAACTTCCCACCACCCAGGGTCGACGACGCGCCCGAGAGGCACTGCTTGCACTCGATCTCCCAGATCTGCGATCTTCAAAAATAAAAATGCGTCAGTTCGTCCCGCCCACTGGCATAAATCACCGGACGTACTGCTTCTTGGCGTCAATATCCTCCAAGGTCAATATCCCATTAACGAGGTCCACAACGAGGTTGTTGGCGGGTGCGAGTGCCCTACATAGACAACACGGTGAGTTTAATAGTTAGGTTGAACATTGGCCCGGGAAAACCAACATACTTGACGATATACGTCGTCGGGTTGGCCGCGCCCGCCTGCTCTACGTGCCATTCGGCCGTTGCGTTCAGCGGGAATGTCCCAGTCACGTCCTTCTTGAGCGGCGTTCCTGCAACGACGGGGGACACATCCCACTCCACTTGGTTGGCGATAATGGATACGGCGGCGCCCTCGAAATTAGGGCTGCACGTCGGGGTTTGCCGGGCAACGGGCGTCGCGGAAACCGTGACGGCACCGAGGACGCAAACAGCAGTTAGGGTAGCGAGGGAGAACATTGAACTTTGAAGTGGGAGGAGGTGCAGAAGTGTGGTACTCGGTTGAGTGATGTCCTTGAGCTGCAGTAGTTGGGGCCTTTTATACGCTCTGCTCATCGGCGAGGAAGGGCATTAATGCCCGCCAATTCTGTGCATTCCAGTGCCGCGCTGGAATGAAACTCTAGGTGGCGCCGAATGACTCCATATTAGCGGGATGGGTATCGGTGAAACAGTCGGGTAGTGGGAGCTAAGCAAGACGGAAATAAACACAGCCGCGTCCGCTCATGTATTGCAAGAGAGAAGGGTGCTGAAAACAATGAAAATATCTAACAGTGAGCAAAGGACGCATTGGCACCAGTGTCTGGGCTTTTATTACAAACCGATGCGTAGTTGTATTTTATTAAAATCCGAGCCAATTTGACCAGGACTGACATGGGCTGATACTGCCTGATAGGCTGCGTGCTGGAAGCTGACAGGCCCTGATACCTAGGTCAGGCCTGATCAGCTAATTTGGGATTTTCCGACAGGGGAGTCGAACCCCAACACCTCTTTCAATTAATATTATTATCCCAATTTTTTATGAATGGAGAGGGATGCACCATGCACCGCGTCCACTTTCTACCTCTACTTCATTATCGCGGTAAGTCAGATTGCATTTTTCTGTTTGAATTGTGAAACAAGAAAAAAGCAATTCACCTCAAGGTGGATACACGGATACGGGGAGCCGAACCCCGACAGCTGCTTTTGAACACTCATTTCTCTTCTCTCTATTGAGTGCAGCGGTGCACCATGCGCCACATCCGCTTCAAATACTCTGTTCAATCTTCAACCAAGTACTGGATTCTTCAAATTGCAAGAAATAGAAACAAAAAACCAGTTCGTTCACAGCCCATGTGGACGCGAGGAATCGAACCCCATCACCTCCGGATCATTTAACACTTTATACCTATGTAATGGATAGAGGGGTGCACCATGCACCACGTCCGCTTTTCACTTCTACTTGCCTTTCGCTGTGAATCAAATAAAATTGATTCGAACCGGGGCAAGAGAAAAAGAACGGAAGAGAACGGGGGGAATGCGGACACGGGGAGTCGAACCCCGTATTACTGCTTCAATCTGAAGATCCCCAGGTTCACTTACGGTGTGCAGCTGTGCATCGTGCACTACGTCCGCTTCAAATACCCTGTTCAATCCTTAACCAAGTATTGTTCAAACTGAGGAGAAAAAAAAAAACAAGTTACCTCTCTCGAAGGATGCGGACGCGGGGAGTCGAACCCCGTATTGCTGCTTCACTCTAAATACCCTCGGATTCGCCAATGGTATGCAGCTGTGCACCGTGCACCCAATCCGCCTCAGATACCCTGTTCAATCCTTAACCAGGTTTTACTCAAACTGCAAAAAGAAAAAGGCAAGTTATTTCTCGACCCCATGCGGACGCAGGGGTCGAACCCTGTGTAGCTGCTTCAGTTTGAAGGACCACCAGTTCATGGTGTGCAGCTGTGCACCATGCACTGCGCCCGCTTCAAATACCCTGTTCAATCCTTAACCAAGTGTTTTTCAAACTGCAGGAGAAAAAAAAAGCAAGATTCTTCCAATGCGGACGCGGGGAGTCGAACCCCGGCACCTCCTGTAATTCAAGACTATTGCTCAATGAACAGAGGGGTGCACCGTGCACCACGTCCGCTTTTCACGCCTACTTTTTTTCCAGCGGTAAGTCAAATCAAATCAATTCGAACCGCGGCAAGAAAAAAGCATGGATAACACAAATGCGCAGGGAGTCGAACCCCGATTACCGCTGTGAATTTCATCCAGGAATCCTTCATTGAGTACAGCTGTGCACCGTGCACTTCAAATATCCTGTTCAATTCTTAACCAAGTATTGTTTAAACTGCCAGAGAAAAAAAGGCAAATTTCTTTTCGACCGGTTATGCGAACGGGGGAGTCGAACCCCATCACCCCCTTTAACGAAATATTCCAACCCCATGGATAGAGAGAGGTGCGCCGTGCACCACGTCCGCTTCCATTTCCTTCCCGTGGTAAGCCAGAAATTTTCGTCGAACTTTGAGAGAGAAAATCAACGACTCACCAAGAGTCAAACCCCATCACCTCCTTTGACTATATATTTGCTCCAAATAAATAAATAAAGGTGCACCATGCACCATGGCTGCTTCCTACCCTTTTTTTTTAGCAGAAATTGAGTTGAAATTTGAGAAGAAAAAACAACGCCTCGTCGTATGCGGACGTGGGGAGTCGAACCCCGTATTGCTGCTTCATTGTCAAAGATCAGGTCAATGGTGTGCAGTGTGCGCCGTGCACCGCGCGCGCTTCAGATACCTGTCCAATCATTAACCAGGTGTTGTTCAAACTGCAAGAGAGAAAAAAGACAAGTTCTTTTCATGCGGATGTGGGGAGTCGAACCCCATCACCTCCATCAACTTCCTGGATGGAGTCTCAATGAATGGAAAAGGTGCACCGTGTACCACGTCCGCTTTCCCTCCCTTGTTTCAAGTCGACCAAGTGCGATACCTTTTGTGTGTGTGAATGAACACGTCAGTGGGCGAGCAAGAAATTAACTTTGGATAAATCTTCCAGAAGGGAAGCCGGGAAAGAGGCTAATAGCTTATTTCAACTCTAAACTGTAAAATTTAAAGCTTAACTTCAGATAGACGTTCGCCCGCGGAGACGGTACTGATGATTGATCAATAATGGAATGTAAAAGATGGAAATCAAGGTTTCGCAGAAGAAGGCACAGAAGGCGCCACAGCTCGGCTCGGTGGTAATTATGCGCTGGGTTGCCGGTTGAGATTGAGTGGACTTTCGTTTTCTTGTAACCCTGCAGCCGGCCACTGAGGAGATCACCGAGTGATCTTCTTCCGCGGATCCAAAACACAAATAAGCAATTAGGCTCAATCGCCCGATTTGGACACTCCAAGTCGAGTTCGTGCAAATTCTTCTCTTCCTTCCCACAGCCAAACACAAACATAGAACAGAATGGAATCTGGCTACGAAAACTTATACCCCAATCCATGGACGCCATACGCGTGGCCTTTTGACCCTCACCCACACGACGACCCTTTACCGCCGCGTATAACTAATGGAGGAAGCCTCGACCCCACCACGGCCAACGTTCACCGCACTCCAGAGCATCCCAGGCTGCGCACCGCACGGGCTTGTGAGAGGTGTAGGAGCAGGAAGACAAAAGTTTGTGGTTTTTCTTGCTGTTTCCGTACGGAGTCTCACTTTCGCGCAGTGCTCAGGCGAGCATCCGTCCTGCTCACGCTGTCTCGCGCACGACGAGCCCTGTGAATACCCGAAAGCGAGGCGCACGCGCGGGCCTAGTAGGCAACTCAAGTCGCGCGCGGGGTCCACCGCCTCCTCGCACTCGTCGCAGCATTCACCCGCTTCCCTGCCGTATCCTCTGCCCGTGAAGGTGAACGGCAACGCAAAGAAACGACGCGGGAACAAGGCGCTCGCCACGACGGACATGGAGATGAGTATGGGCATGGGCGTAAAGCTCGAGCCGCTGTCGAGCTGCGTCCCGCTGGGCCTCCCTTCGTCGAGTAAAGTTAACGGTAACGTGCACCACAGTGGGTACACCAACGCGCACCCCCTCCCCACCGGCGGCACGAAGAGACTCTCCCTCCCTGCGTCATTGTTTTTGGATAGCCTTTCTTTTGCGTACGCGTATCCCCCTCTGCCCGTCCTTACATGGACCCAGGTTATGCGGACTCGGCGTACCACTTGGGAACATACACGGAAGACTACCCGCCCTCCTTAGCGTACACCAACACCGACACCAGCTCGAGCTCGCGCCGCGGAAGCTTCGACCCGCCCCCAGGCTTCGCGCCCGAGCACCAGGCGAAAGGGTACGACTATGACCACCGTCTCGACTACCACCTCGACCCGCGCGACCTCGACCCACTGGAGACAGGTTACACCCCCGATCCGCACGACCGCACGCCGACTGTCTTCCCTGCCGTCGACCATTTCGGACCGCGTGTCGGCTCCGACGATCTTGCACTCGTACTCGGACGCACAGGCGGGGGCGGCGACACGAGCTTGCGCAGCGGGTGTCCGAGCAGCGGGAGCACGGGGAGCGAGGGCAGGGGCGAGGGGCGTAGCGCGTGAGCATTCTCTGGCTTTCGACGTCGCTATGTGCATTGTTTCTTGCATAATCCTCTTCGATGCAAGTCTCAGCTGTGGTGCGCGTGCACGGGTCTTTCCGTCCAATTGACCATGACATCGGGGACGTTGGCGGTCTCTGTCCCCAAGACTTGACGCGGTCTTGTCCGGCTGGGATTTTTCTTTCCTGTCTCCTTGCACTGCATTAACTTGACCCCCGTCCTTGCGCCCGTACGGGCGCGTCGACGGCCCGGCCCGCTGACGACGTGGCTTTGGCGGGAGCCGTCGGTCGACGCTCGGCCTTCACCGTCGACGCTCGCGGGCCTGTATGATAGTCGCTGTTTGCGTGCTTTCCATCATGCTCCCCGTGGCGTGGTCGAGGTCGGGGTCGAGTCGCTGTGTTGGCCGTTCGCATATCCGGAGGCAGGAGGGGCATACACCTCACGGTGACTTGGAGCCCACAGTATTCGCGATCGGGGACCTGCTTGGTCTTTGCATGACGATTGGGACGTGTTCCGCAGTGTGTGGGTCGGCGGGTCAGCGTCGACGCCCTCGAGCCCTCCCGTGTTCCTCATCCTTCCTTTTTTACTTTCTTCCTCTCTTTCTTTCTCGTCTTATCTCGATTTCGCGGTACGTAATTCGACGATGTGGCGTGGGCTTTTCCCATGGCCAGTCCGGAGTAGATTGGCGCGTCAGTGCAGTGCGGAGGCGGTGGTGGGCGACGAGGACAAGGATGCCGCACGCATGCTCAAGCTTCGGCGGCTCCTTCAAGTTATGGGCGGGCAAACGCATTGGTGCAGTTTTCCACTTTCCTCCTGTGGGCATGGGTGCTACGACACCAAGTACCGAGGCCCTTCTCTCCATTTAAGTTACTATGATTCAGTCCCTGTTCTCTTTATTAATTTCTCCCTCCCTGCTTTGTTATCGGATGAGTACATACCTTTTCCCTTTTTTTTTGCAGACGCGCCGCTCTTCGGGGCAGGCGTATTCGCCTCGCATGCGCCGCATTCCTGCTCGAGGTGGGTTACGCCACGCCTACGAATAGTGATATGCGTACTTGCCGTCATACCACAGTCCATGCCCACGGGATGTGGATGAGGCAGCGTGCGCGTGCCGTGTCCCACGTATTCCCCGCGCACGGCGCGGCAGCGGAACGTGCATGGCTTGCACCACTTCCCTCACGTCCCCTGGCGAGTACACAGCTCTGAGCGGACCAGTGCGCGCGCACAGGCATGTTGTCCAGTCCACGTATCTCCCGTTGGAAATGCGTATGCGCCCGGATAGTCAAAATTGGACTTGCTGTAGCTCGGAGGCTGCACGGTGACGGTGCCATGTATATGCTGAAAATAAATCTCAAATGAGACGAGTCAGGCTCGGAGTACACTCGCGTACCTGCGCTCCACGACTACCCACACGCATTATGGGAGTAGGGTACACGGAACACGGATCCGCAAACGCAAATATCTGTAGTTTCGCATATTATGTACTGGTGGCTGCTGAAGCTGGTCAGAGCTGGTCGCTCAGTGAGTGCGTGACTCGGACGTCAAGCGTCCATCAAATTCCACCTGTCTTCTCCTCCTCGTTCAATCCCAAAGCAGTTAGTAGTCGATGTCCGTCTCTCTTGAACACACAGTCTCTGACCATATTCTAGCGCTTGAATATCTGAATCCCCCCGGCGCCCAGTTTAACGTCTTATAAACAAGTGGTTAGCGCACGAAGTTATACGCCCAGATATCGACTATACGATGTTTATTGCTTCAATGCTTGCGACTCGCCCATCCTTTCAGTTCCACCGGAAATTACAGGCATAATATTTATACATTGTCTTCCTTCCAACCCCCTCCCATTCCGAGAATGGGCCCCATGGCCTTCACCGCATGAAGCACCTCTACTTCTGGCTCAAATTTGTCGCCGATGGCGGGAGATATGTCTGGATACACCAGAACTATGGAAATCCATTGCCTTCGGCGACACCAAATCTGTAGAATTGCAGAAACGGTGGCTCTCGCGTGCACGGAATCAACCGCTTACCCTTTCCCTCGATTGTAGGGACGAAATGAGAGCGAGCATGCTCATGGACATCATAAAATCCTATTATTCCCAGTGGCAGGATGTCCGCCTTGGTCTCCCGATGTATACGCTCCGCCAGCTCAACGTCAACACGTCCACCCTTCCCCGCCTTGAGCGACTCTTTCTGGACGCTCCCTTCGTGTATCGCGACGACATACCGGCCCCCATTATCATTCCCAATGCGCCACTGCTTCGCGAAGTGAAAACAATTGATTTCCCGTATCTCCAGGTCGATCCCCGGAATCCTTTCGAACGTTTAACCACCCTTGATTTCAAAGGTATGGGCATGTCCACGATCATCGCTTTCTTGCGATGCTGCCCGAACCTCCCGGATCTCTCCACTCGCAGGACAGGTGATTCCGAACCTCCGCACCTCGAGCTGCGTTCTCTGCGCTCGTTGAAAATCCACTTTGGGAGCATCCTGCCTCTAACACTTCCGCGCTGGAACGACTTGAAATATTACCCGGAGTGGATGATATCGATGCTGCGACC